GGGGGGGCCGCGCGCGCCCACCCGAGCAAAGGGGGCCGCGGCGGTTTCGAGGAGCCCCCGATGGGGGGGGGGAGGGGGAGGGGGCGTGGCTCGGGGAGGTGGGGGAGGGGCGGCCTCGTCCGGAGCGTTTCGTTATTTTGGGTATTTCGGGATTTTCGTTATTTTCGTGATTTTTTGTGACGGACGCTCCGAGGGGGGGCGGGGCTCGGGGGGCCTTGAAACGGCCCGCGGGCGCTGATTGGCTGATCGGGAGCGGGGGCGGGGCCTGAACGCGAGGATTGGCTGGGCCCGGAAAGGGGGCGGGGCCAGAGCGTGTTTACCTCGCGAAGTGCCCCGGTGGGGGCGGGGCCTGTGCGGGACACGCCCCGGGGGGAAGGGGCGGGGCGTTACGAGACACGCCCACAGGCGAGAAATGAGTGGGGGTTTCACGGGACACGCCCCCAGCGTGGAAGGGGCGGGGCTCCCAGGTTCACGCCCACTGTGGAGAAGAGGGCGTGGTTTGTACATTGACCCCGCCTACTCTGAACCCCCCAGCCTGGAGCCTCCCCCAGACCCTCGAATTTGAGCCCCTTTTTTCCTGCCTTAAATACCGTGGAATTATTGATTTTGTTTAATAAGACAGAGAATTCTCACTTTCCCCTGTTTATTTGGTTTTTATTAGAAAACGATTCATCATATATTATTAATATATAATTATATCTAAACGACATCATTATATTATTATATATGTTATATAATTAATATAATTAAATATATAATAATATATATTATGTAATATAAAACAATGTTATATAAATAAAATGTAATAGTTAATATATATAATTTCTTATAGGTTATTATATAATATATAATTACATAATATATAATTATATACAATGTATGCATATATTATATAAAATATGCATAAATATAATATTTATTGCATATATTATTATTTTAACCAAATATATAATTTAAATTCCTGTTTTAACCCCCAATTCCTATTTCCCTCCAAATTCCTCGAGTTTCCCCCGAATTCCTTCTTTTTCATCCCAGTTCCACCTGTTTCACCCCAAATTCCACCTCCTTCGCCTCAAACTCCTCCCGCTTCAAACAAATTCCTTCTGCTTTCCCCCAAATTCCTATTTGTCTCCAGAGAAATTCCACCCATTTCACCCCAATTCCCTCCTCTTCCAGCCAAATTTCTCTTGTTTCCCCCCCCGAATTTCCACAAACTGTGTTTGTTTTAAGGAAAATCCGGGGGGCGAAAAGAGGATTTAGGGATTTTTCTTTTTAAGGAAAATGCGAGGGAAGGAGGATCCCGAATCCCGCCGGGAAGGACGATCCCGAATCCCGCGGGGAAGGAGGATCCCGAATCCCGCCGGGAAGGACGATCCCGAATCCCGCGGGGAAGGGGGATCCCGAATCCCGCCGGGAAGGACGATCCCGAATCCCGCCGGGAAGGACGATCCCGAATCCCGCGGGGAAGGGGGTGTTGCTGCCGGGCCCGGGCCGCTCTGGGGGAGCCCGAGGGGATCCCAAATCCATCGGGATCTCCTCGCGAGCCGCTTTCCCACCGGAATCACGTCAGAGCCGGATCTTCCCGGAGCTGCTTCCTGGAGGTTGAATCCGCATCTCGCAATTCCCGGTTTCCCATCGGGATCGTCCCCCCGGGATCCCTCGGGGTTCGCAGCCTCATCCCGGGGGGGTTTCATCATTCCTCGGTTAAGGAGCGGGACTCGTCCCGGGGATATTCCAGGGAAAAACGGGGCAAAGCGGGAATTTTCCGTCCGGCGCGGGGAGCGGACCGGGAGCGTTCTGCTGGCAAACTGGGAGCGGACTGGGATTGGACTGGGCACGGTCTGGTATGGCCCGATGGGGCCAGGGGGGCA